CTCTCATAGTTTTAAAGTATGAAACATTAACTTAATTCCTCTATAATTCTCACAATCTTGTACATCACCTTTATTTTTAAAAATAGGAATTAACACACTCATTCTCCGCTCATTTGACATCTTTTTAGTCTTAAAAATAGTATTAAAAAGTTTATTAAGCCAAGAAATTCCTTCAGTTCCTAAGCATTTCCACACCTCTATTGGAATATCCTCATGTCCAAAAGCTTTTCCTTGCTTCATTTTCTTTAAAGCCTCTCTAACTTTGGTTTTATGAATATGTTGATAAAAGCAAAAATCTTTATTTAGAGTGTTAAGGTCACTAAAGTTAATCGTATTTTCACTTTATTCATTAAAAAGTTTAGCAAAATATCTCATCCACATTTGTTGAATATTATCTTCAAAGAAAAGTACTTTTTATCTTCATCCTTAATATATTTCACTTAAATTAAATCCTTACTACTCCTATCTCTTTGTTTGACTAACTTATACATATATATATTTCTCCCTCATTAGTATATAATTTATTATATAAATTATTGAAAGCTAAGATATTTGCATCGCATATTGCTTTCTTAGATTCTATACATGCCTCTTTATATCTTTCTCAATTATAAACTAATTTTTATAATAATTCATTTTATTTTTTTATCTTTTCTTGCACATTTGGATTTCACCATCAACTATTTTTATTATTAGGTGCTTTCGCTTTGACCACTATGAATGCTTTTAAAATTATCTACCTCTATACCAAAATGACCATTTAAATCTCTTCCAATAAAAACTCTTTTTTCAAGAGTTATTTTTTTTGTATTAATCCTTTTAAATCATTCTAAAATTTTAATTTTAAACTCATATTCAAATCAACTTGAGGAGCATAAGCACTTATAATATTAATAATTTTAGCTTCAATAATAATCTTTAAAGCTATAATTCTATCTCTAATTCTATTAATTTTTATAACATTATCCTTCAAGCTCTTATTTATTATCACATATACACTATTTCTAGTACGGCTCCTACGCGAATACCATATTTTGAATAAAAAACTATTAGTCTTCTTAGCCTTCTCTCCAACCCATTTAGTTTCTTAAATGTGCATAATATTTTTTTTCATATGAATCATAATATTTATTAATTCCATTAAATTTTCTATAAGGGAACATATATTCCAAGTTCTTATCCTAATTTTAGGTTTATGGACTGGCTTCTTTGCCCACATCCATCCGTGATGTGAGAACATTTGCCTATTTAACATTGCACTCGGGCGTTAGTGCAGCGACCGTTTCACACTTGTCGTTGTATTTAGAACATACAGCATATCGCTTCTAAGAGATGCCCTAACATTAACACAATTTTTTAAAGGATTCATGTCATTATTATACGACAAGTTTTATGCTTGTTGTCAACTACCTAACAACCCTCCACTTTTCTCATCCAGGGCTTGAGACCGGTTAACGAAATTGTTTTTTTTTTATTACAATTAGTAGACTAAAATAGTTTTATTATTAATCAAAGGATCTTATATAGTTCATTCTTATAAATCTAGAATACAACACTACTTAATTTTTGGGTGCTTTAGTATTATAGTTGTAAACATATAATTTTATTGTTGTGTCATTTTTTTTTTTCAACCCTAAACTTTTATTAATTTGACACTAGGTCAAATATTATTATAAAGCATTAATCCTCAATGAGTCAATTAACTTATGAACCAAACATAATTGATAATTTTATTTGATTGGTGTCTATAGCTTAGAATTTCAAGGGTTCATTTAGGACGGCTACAACTCCTTATAATGATAGTTACTGAGTTATTCTGAGGAAAGCAATTTTCTTAAAAGCTATGATAGACATTATAAGTATTTTCTTTTTAAAAAATATGGCATAAATTTTATTACCGCTACAATGCTTTTGCAGATCTGGATTAAAAAAGCAGCTTTCTATCATTGAAATTTCATAAAATATATAAAAAAGCAATATTCAAGTAGAGAAGAAGCAGTGGCTAAATTGAAATTATGGTTGTGATTTGAAAAGCAAAGCAATAAGAAAACTATCCCAAACATAGCCTAAATACGATTTGAAATGCAATAAGGGTTATTTTACAATTTGGATTGATTTAATGATTATTTTATAAGTTTTAATGTGATATTGTTTAAATTTACATAAAGTAATAATCATAATATTTTTACAATTTTAATTGATTGGAGTGATATTGTAATAGTATAAATTTTTTGTATATGGTAAAAAATATTAGGTAGATGTTATTTATTGGATAAGAAGAGATTGAGAATGATTGAATGTCTCTATCATATTTTGTTCTTTCATTTTACACTATTATTGCACATCAACACCAACCCTCTGTGATAAATGTCAAACATTTATTATATCACAGGAAATAAAAAATATAATGTCAAAAGCTATTCAATGCTGAGCGCATCAAAATCATAGCACATTTATTTAAATTTTTGGGTTAGGTTCCGGTTAACCTGAAAAGACAAAAGTCGAAAACCATCATCCGCGCTCATCGCACTCGTCTTGCTCGCTACTCGCTTCTTGTGCTTGCTTGCTAGCCCTTACTCACTCCCCCGCTAGCCCTCGCCCACTCGACCGATCACGCTCGCTTGCTCGCTCGACTGTCTATGCTCGATCGTCTATCGCACTCAACCGAGTTAACAACTTGGGTAGTGTTAGGTCGGGTTGGGGCCGATCGAGTTTGATTCAGGTTAAGTGAGTTGAAACTAGATTAATTCCGGATTGGATCTGAACACGACCCGAAAAACCTATTGTGACATCCATACATAAAATTTTAATCTTGACATAGAGCACTAAAATAATGAAGATACTTATTATCATTTTGAAGATAAATTTTTTGGGGAGTAAATAAATCAATTCGAGCTCGAGTCATCTTCACTTTGTGTTTGAGCTTAATTCATTAGTAGAGTTAGAGCTCAAGCCATAGTTAAATTTTACAAGTTGGAGTTAGCTCACCAGCCATTTCATTGATTATGAATGAACAAATATTAATAACTTAAGCAATATTTTATAATAAACTAATAATAAATAGAAATAAAAAAAAGTAATCACTTGATATAAGAAGTGATATATATTTTAAAAATATTTTATCAGATTTTAACTTAAACTTATGAATCCTAATATATTTTAAGTATATTTTACATTAATATTTTTTAAATGAGCCAACTCGCGAGATAACGAACCGATCAACTGAGTCAGCTCAAGCTTGACTCATCAACTCCTCAAGCCCAACTCACCAGCCATTTTTCCAGCTAGAGACGAGTCAACTTAACTCACTAAGCTTACACTTACACCCCCAAACAAAATAATAAAATTAAAAATATCTATATAAAATATAAAAACTTATGAAAACAATAATCCACATGATTATTTACACAAATATATAAATAATATCACATATTATAATAATTAATACATAAAATATATTGGAAGCTCCCATCAGAATTTTTCTCTGTCAAGCACTCAAATCATTCATTTAGAACAGTGCATTGGTAGAATTCCCTTAATTTATTGTTGATAGAGACGACTTTAGCGATCATCACAACATAATTAGACATTTAAAAAATTTTGGATATTATGAATAAAAATGTAATATCTTTATTTAAAATTATAAATTAGTTTTATAAATAATAAGGCTATCAAAATTGACTTAAATAAGATAAAATTTTAAGTATTTTATTTAATATTTTATAATTTATAGAAATTAATAGTTATTATTTTTTGAATAAATGGTTATAGTTTTAACCATTTTAAAATTTTTTACATATATGATTTTTTTTTTATTTACTCGCATATCATTTAATTCTTTAAATAATAATTGAAATACTACTCTCTCATCATTCTATTAACATAGGATGATATTTTTTTCTTGCTCATGTTGGTATGTCAATTTTTCTTGCTCATGTCTTACCTTTGGAACCCTCATGTAACACTACCTAGCTATTTACGCGCTCCTCATCCACACCACGTGGATATTTGTGCTCTCGTCATTTCTCGTATGCCCATTTTTACACATCCTTACATACGCTCACATCTGGGTGTGTAAGTGAGCAAAGTCGGCTCGAGCTCAACTCGTTTACGGGCTCGTGAGCCAAGCTCATCGAGCTCGAGCTCATTTATTGAAAGAGCTTGAGTTCAAGCTTGGTTGAGGCTCGGCTCGAGAGCTCACGAGCCAACTTGACTCACTATTAATACGCTTAATCTCGCCTAAAAATTAATACTAAATGTTTTATTCTTCCCACCAAATCCCACATTCACGCTCGAATTCGAGGCGGACAGTGCTCGAGGCACTCATGTGGCTAGAGGCGATCACGTTTGCTCGTACCACATGTTGATGGAATGAGCGAGGAAGGCTATGGGGTGGATAGTCCGTTACTTGCAGAAGACACCAGAGGCTTTCGATTTCGAACGTCAGGTGAATTTGAGCTGCTCAACGAGCCCGTTTCACTATCGCGAGTCGAGCTTTGTATTGGACTCATCACGAGTTGAGCTCGAACACCCATTGACTCGAACTCGACTCGACTCATTTACACCCTACCTCGCATCAAACATATCCGATGAATCCATTGATGCACTTCCTCACGATTAGGCACAGATTGCTTGTATAATGTGCTATTTTATCTCGTCGTTAATACGTTATACGCCACATGCACATGCCTTATTCCTCACACACTTAACTATTTACATACCTACATATGTAAAAAAAAATTGTACATCAAACTTAAAATATTAGGCGTAAATTACTAGCAAGATGATGATATTTTCACTAATAATTTTCACTATTATTTAATTAATTGTCTGATATAAGAGTTATTATAAAGAATTATTAATTAATATTTATTAGATACATAAATATGAAAGTTTCTATTAATATGGGCGCAAAACTCCCATTTTTATATAAAACCCTCTGATATAATTTTTTTTACATCCGCTTGCTGTCCCTATTAAGCAAAATCTCAGTCCTAATTCGGGACATTAGAAGGAACCTGACCAGAAAAGCGAAAAGCTCTCCTTTATTTCCCTCTCGCCTTTCTCTCTCACTCCTCCACTTCTCTCGCCAGACCTCCACCATCCGTGCCGTTTCGCCCCCCAAAACCCAAAATCATTCCGTTTTCCTTCCCAAATCTCTCGCATTACTTATTATATCTCTGCTTCTGCTGGAATCCAGTTCATGCTGTAGCTGGTTGGAACTCTATTGACGTGTATACGGCGGAGGAGCGGCCAGAGGCAGTCGGAGTCGGGAGGTCGGAAGGGAATTCGAGATGTCGGCAACGGAGGGGTCTGGATCCTGTGTCGATGAAAATGAAGGGGCAGCGCTCTAACTCTGTGGGATCTGAAACGACGATATGAATTTTTCACTGTGCCGACGCCGACTTTTCCGCGGTTGTTAGGGTTAGGGATTGCCTAGCGCTGGCTGATGAGGATTTGGAACATACAGAGGAAACAGCCCGAGGTTTCACCATGCTTTTCACCAAGCTCGACGATTCTCCTATGTTCAGGAAACAGGTGAGCTCGGAATAACTCTCAATTTTCCCCACGGTTTTTTAGGTCTCGGCGTGCATTTGATATAAATGCCGCTCCTTTGGCTCTGTTGCCTGGGTTTGTTAGATTAAGTGTGACATACTTCAGTTGTTTATTTTATTTTAAAATTTTATTTTATTTCCTAAACTAGTTTGCACCGTTCTTAGGGACATTGTGTCGCTTCTATTTAACAAAGGGAATTTTGCAGTTCTTTAAGTTGGATTATTGTTCTTTGAAAGGGATCTAGTTTCCGGACTAAAAGTGACACTTGTTGCTATTTTGTTATGTTCCATTCCTCATGGATGATCCATATGTGGTATTGTAAGATTAAGTGTTTTCATTGCACAATTAGCAAAGTTCAATAGACACAATGCAATGCGACAAATTAAGTAATTGAAATGAATTCCATTTACATCTATATTTACTAATTATGAGTGTAGCAAAAGGTTGATGGACTTTCACTACCAAAAAAATAAAAATAAAAATAAAAATTATAGAGCAGGAAACATTGGCCAAGAATTTGGAAGGAAGAAAGAAAATGAAAAGAAGAGAGAAGAGCCAACAAAAAAGGAGCTTTCCATCAAGGAAATCTTAACAAGGTTGAGACTAGGATGATGGATATTCCAATGAAGATCAAATACGATTTTTGATGGTTTCTACTACCTCTTAGTTCGCACCATGATTCTAATCCCATCTACATAACTATTTCTTGCCACGAAATGAGGTGGGTTTTATCTTACTATGATACCATCATTCTTGAGTATCCACTTGTTGCCTTTAATTTGCATTTTGTTGCTTCTTTTTGCTTGAGGCAGCATCTAAAGTGATTGCAGTAGGGGTAGTATTTGAACTAGTGATCTTGTGGTCCTGAGCTTGATGAGTCCACAATTACTCTACCTTGCTTCTTCCTCTTCTACCCCCCTTGGTTGCTTGGTTAGGGTAGAGAGTTATTCCAACTTCAAATGTAATTGAAACCATAGGGTCAACCATTATCACTTCAACTGAATTTGAAAAATATATTCTATTAACTCACTAAAGGTTAAAAATAGTAACTCCATAATAGAAGCTTGTGCTTGGATCACATTTCACTTTAGAAGTGAAAGCTCATGCTCCACTGGTTGAAAGTGCACTTAGGCGTGCCCCATGATTTTGGGTGTTGTGAAGCACTTCTCCAGTGATTTTCATCACTTCACTTCTAAAGGCGCTCTTCGTTATGTTGTTTACAACACTCATTAAGCATGAATTTGACAGGGCATGTGTTAGTAGGAAACTAATCATAAACTTTTTGCCAAAAATTATGAAATTAAAGTTGAACAAAAAAGTTGGGACAAGCCTGATGAAAAATGATGATGTCTTAGCAAAAGATACGATGTTGATGTATGAATTGGATGAGCAAAAACACATCTCATGGTTGTTTTTTGATGATGAAGATATTATATGAAATTTCTTACAGGGAAATACATATTATATGTGGTATTTAAGAAGTGTCTATACATAATGTCCATGTTCATCAAAATATAAAATGAGAATGAGTTATTTGTACAACTAAGCTTTTTGTGAACCCCTTAATATATCCGAAGGGTGTAAGATTAATCTACTATTAACTTTCTTGGAAATTCATTTCTTATGAAATATATTTTATAAGAATTTATAATGCTATGGTAACGTTGTGTACTTTTATATCAAGAAGTATAATAGGAAGATTATGTCATCTGTGGAGCTAGTGGATGCTTTTCTATAGTGTTTAGTGAATAAATTGAAAATCCATCTCAAATTTATCATTTTGAGTCCCAAGTTAGACGATACAACTGTCTTTTGAATGATGGTCTGTTAAGATAATTACTAAATAAGCTATAAAAAAGATTCAAAGAGGGGAATAACACTGAAAAGTAAAATTTCTACATGCTTGCTTAGTATTTTGCTAGCCTTTTGGTAGCATTGCATCGTTAGGCACATCAAGTATTGTAAGAGGAAAGATGCCATCTATTGAAGCTGGTTGATGGTTGTGCATATCATAGCTTAATAACTTGAAAATTCATCTCAACTTGTCATTTGAAATCCAATAATTTAACTACCATGTGAAGGATGGGTTGACTTGGTAAGGAATAAAGAAGCTGTTGGAAAAGTTGTAAAGATGGAAGTTTTGCTGAGAACTATATTTGTTGCCTGCTTATTTATGAAGGATTTACAGGTCTTGTGGCTTATAACACATATCTATCTATGATTGTTGGTGTTTAGTCCCAATTAAATGAGATTGGTTTGAGGACCATAGTTGGTATGACAACTTCCTATTCAACATAACACATTTTTCTATGCAAACTATTTTTTTGTGATATGAAAGTCACCCATTATAATTTTGATAATACTTGCATATTTGAACACAAAAATCATACAACAACAAAAACAACAAGGCTTTATCCCATTATGTGGGGTTGGCTAATAAATTAATGACCATGATTTTTGTCTTAGATAGGGCTACAAATGAATCTAACCGAGATGAGCAGGTGCTTGTTCATATTTGAACTAATTTATTATCAGCAAGTTCAAGCTTGGATCACATTTTTTTGTTTAAGTTCAATCTTGGTTCATTTAAAATGATAGATGTTCAATTTTGGCTTGTGTCGGTTTATGTTTGATTCTTATAGTGCTTTTTGAGCATTAAATGAGCGGCTTGCATGAAATAATAAATGAGCCTTATTTAGGCATTAATGAGCTTTACATTTGAGATGTTCAATAGCTTAACATACATGCAACATTGATTCCAATAACGAACAAGTCATCGAGCCTTATCGAGTTGGTTAACAGATATATCTTTTAAGCTTAAGCCCATAAACAAGCCAACCTATCAAGCATTTTTGAGCTTAGAAATGAGTAACTTTTTGATATTAGAAAATGATGCTTTTACTAAATGAGTTTTTTTAATGTTGATTTTTTTTAATAAAAAATTAAAATATTCATACTTAATTACGAACATAAAAAAATTCATACTAAATTATCACATGTGAATGAATAGAAACTCATGCAGGTAAAATACGGCTTGATTGTGAATTAATTATCATTTATTTAAGAAATAAGCTTTGCCACACTTAATGAAAGGTTATCGAATGTTATGACGACTATAAAATGACACTTTTGATTAACTCAAATAAAATTTAGCCTTTAAGCTTTGTTGAAATGTGAACAATGCGATTTTAACGTATTGTATAGAAAGAAATCATCTTTCTTCTTTAAAAAAATTAAAGTAAATTTGCTTCTCCACAAATAAACAAATCTATAATAGCTAATGGCCATAAGAAAATCATTTTCATTTTTCATCTTTTTAATTCTCCAAAAATGATTTGGATTTCCATTGTTATCATTTAGGATTTTCAGAGTAAAACAACTGGGAGAGGAAAAAACAAAGAAAAAAATCGTATTTACACCCACTAGTCGCCTTGAGAAGGCTAAATCAAGAACTCCTCTTTCTATTTACACACACCGCTAGTCCCGTAGATGCCTTCTCTAGCAAGAACTAGCTGCCTAAAAGCCTTCCCCCCTAGTTTGTTTAGGAGGGTTTTGGGAATTTGGGGGCGGCATATTTGGGGCAGGTGGGGTGACTAGGGTTTTGGGGTTTAGGATTTTAGAAAATATTTGGGTCACTAGGCACTCAAAATATAGATATTTATGATTTTTAAATTAAATGGTCATTAACATTAATTTAATCGATATTTATAATTTGCTCTAATTAATAGATGCTATCATATATAATTTGTTTTAAAATTATTAATTAATTATTTATGATGATATTAGTTCATAAAAAATATAAATTATTCAAATTAGTTTGTTCATCATTTTTATAATGAGATTTTGATTGAATTTCTCAATGTGTTTATTCATGACCTTCAAATGAAACATTAATTGATTTTTTTTACAAATTCGTTCATGTGCTTTGTGTTGAACATTAATTGAGCTTCTTAACGAGTATTATATTGCTTTTTATCGAGCTTACATACGGCTTTAATCGAAACGGTTCATTAACATAAATGAGTTGAACAAATATATGTTCAAGCTTGTTTATTTAACAATTGAGTTTTAAAAAGTTGTTCAAGCTTGTTTGATTAGTTAATGAAACAATCATGAATGAGTTGTAATCGAACTGAATCATGAATAGCTTGTCAAAAGCTCGGTTTGTTTGCAACCCTAGTTTTAGACCACCATTCTAATAACGTTAACCCCGATATACCTTAGATCCCCATTTTATTGGCACTAGCTCATTATCTTACTTAGGCACATCTTATGGTGGTCCTTCCTCAAACCCCTTTTAGTTTCAATCATAAAGATTCCAATAAAAACATCGAAATAAATCAATCAAATTAATGCATTTTTTAATGAGGTTTTTCTTCATGAGAAGTTTGCTGCCCCTTTGCCTATTGAAATCTACATACTTGTGGTGATCTAAAATCTTCAACTTAACTTATTTGGACATCTATTAGGGAATCGATTGATGAATTTCTCTCTCAGAATGATGTATGCCCTAACGTAGATCCAACTCCTAGATCCTCATTGCCACATTTAATGAATCACACTTAGCACCTAGAGCTTTTTCTATGGCTTCTTGATATAGCTGATATGTCCCATCATTAATTATATGCTATACTTTTTTATTAGCACGTCATTTTCATTGTTTTCGTTCATCTATACCACAACAAGTCGACATAAATTTTGATAGATTTTCTAATGTTATTTTTTAAAATATTCATCATGGGATTACTAATAGTGATTATATTTTTATTTACATTTATCCAACTACTTTTAACAAGATAATGTTACATGTTGCATAAGAACCTTAAAATGGTTGCTTATTATTATTATTATTTTTATTTTGCCTCATAACATATTTTCTTGTCCTTTTTCATTGCACACAATATTTTATGATATCGAAGAGTTAGAAAACCTTATGATTTATAAACTAACCACTTGTTGATGACAAATGTCCATTCTTTCATATACAGATTCCATAACTATAGATATTGGGCTGCCTTTTGTAAATCTATGGCCATGGATGCCCAAACTAGATAGTATGGTGCTTCCACATGTCCTTGTTCATGAATATACTTTCTTTAACTTTGTGGCCTGATGGTGTTGATGCCTCACAAATACATGATTAGAGAATAAGCCGGAGCATTGCATCAAAATTGAGGATTGTCATTATCATCAATACTCCAAATCTTAAAGAAATTAAGCATGAATCAAACTTAGGCGATCTCTTCCAGCTTGGAATTCAACATGTGCATCAATTCAATACTACTCTCTATTCCATACATGCATGGACATACATACCCCTACGCATTTTGGGTGAGCCAAAAGGATGGGAAAATACTTTAACATTCTCTCCTAAACACCTTGGCTGACAACTTCAATGATGGACGTGAGGATTGCATGCAAATTAGAAATACCCCATTCCTTTTTTGTCATACCCAAAACATAACATGAAGCATTTTTTTTGTTTCTTCTCTATATAAACTCATCATGTTCTCATTATTAATTCGTTGAATAGATTATCGAGTTGTGTTGCTTTGTTAAAACCCTAGAGAAGCTTAGTGTTTGATTTAATATCGGAACTTTGGCAAGTTTCATGTTGCTATCCTTTCTTGTTTTATTTCTCTCATCCCTTCCTCTCTCGGTTATCATCTCTACCCTTGCTTCCCTCAACCTAAGAACAACTTCACAATTTCTCATAATTCTCCACCCTCTTCCTTTCTCATCTACCAAAAAAATCCTAAAAATGCACTCTCTTAGATTTGGCCTTCTCATGCAATGCTCAAGCCACTTTCAATTCATTCAATAGCCTTAACACAACCCTCTTTAAACTCCAAACCCTAATATATCTATCCACATTTACGAAATTCTCTTTGTTTCATGTTTTCTCATAAATAGGCAGAGTATCGAGCCAATAAGAAATAAGAAAAATATGCTTCTTCTCAACAGGTGTCATAAGTGCTAGATTTGTGAAGAACTTTGGATTGAGTATTTAATTCCCAGGCTACCTTGGTATTGACTGATGCTATTACATGTCAAAACCTACTCCTTAGTAGCTCTCCGTCGAACTTTCACTCTAAATTTAAGTTGCAAACATTTTCCTCTCAAGATTAATAGTGCAGGCTCAGAAAGCAGATGCCTTTTTTAAACCTTTTATGCAGTTGTTTGCATTTTGACTTTTGGTGGGGTGGAATAAATCTACTTCACTGGTTGGAAATCCATTATATTGGTTATTAATGAATGAGCTTCCAAGGGCTATGTTGCAAATGCTACAAAATATGAAAATACTCGTGGGTACATTGAAAGCCTTTAGTTAAGCGGCTACAAAAAATTAAGCTTCTGAATTCTGTATTGTGGACGGCAATAAGTTTCTACCTATCATCTAACAATATTTAATTACTAATTCTTGTGATTTTTTATGATTGATTCTTCTTATAACTGCTTGGTCCTGCATAACAGTTTGCTTATATGATTGACAGGTTCAAACACTTGAGGAAAGTGCGGAGTCATTACGTGAGAGATGCCTGAAGTTTTACAAAGGCTGTCGAAAATACACGTATGCCATACTAAGCAGCTGTATTCCCTTTACTATGCCATTTACTTTTGTCTGTTGAATTGATGCAGTTGTCCTCTCTTTGGAATGACAGAAATGTGTTGATGTTATCTCACTTAGGCTTCGTTTGTTTTTTTGGTACTTTTGTAAAAGACAGTTTTAAAAAACATTAGTTCATAAAATGGAGTTTTGTAACGGAGAAGCATATATAAAAAGTTTTCTCAAAACTGCAGAAAAATGAAAAAAAAGGAGTTATTGGGAACGTGATTTGACGAACCAAACAACACAAAAAAAAATTCCTCCGTTTCCAAAAACGAAAAAGGCAAAAAAACGCTCAAACAAACAAAACCTTAGGGTAGTTATGTTGACTAGCTTCGTTAAAATTGCTTTAATTTTCACTTTTGTTATAGTGCTCAAGATAACTTCATCTCATTACTGATCAAAATAATGGACTTTTTATGAGAATATATCATTTATGAAAATGCGTTGCATTATATATTGATTATATTGCTGTAATTTTATTTGTATTCGTCATTTAGTTTATCTTTTGAACTTCTATTGATCTAAAATAATACTATATTTATGCATGCTCAAATGCTATATCTGATACTTTGTGACTTCTAAGCAGTAGAATATTATTCTTTATTGCATTTCTTTATAATATTTAGTAGTTTACATGGAATCCAATTGATTTTATCACTTCCATCAACATCATCTTTATTATTTCCATGTGTGATGGCCAATGCATCCATTCCTTTCACTGCAACTTTGTTTAACCATCCTTTGCATACTATTTTAGATGTTGCGGCTTGTAGGTTCGTGTTCTTTATTCTAGACCTAATCCAATTATGGTGTTTAGTGGGGTTAGCTAGAGTTTCCATAACTGATGTCACGACTTAACACTTAACTTGATTATGATGAAAAGTTGGTGAGTGTTTGGGAGGACATCATTCAAAACTTAGACACACTTGCCCAATTTTAGTGAAAAATGTATGATTGTTGACTTTGTTTCTAATTGAGATTAAATTTGCTATGTGGAAGTTGGAAACTTTTAATGTGAACAATAGCTAATTAATAGACATAATTATTTGAGGAAGGATAAAATGCAGGAAATATCCAAAGGCCTTAGAGAAAGTTGTTATTCCACGCTGGGAAGTATAATAAGTATAATAATAAATGCAATATGGATACTAATGATGAAGAGTTCAAAAAAAATGTTGAGATAAATAAGGGTTTGTACAATCAAAGGGTAGAAAATGCATCAACAAGGCATTTGAATAAAATAATGTAGAACTACGTATAGATGCAATGCTTTTGGTTAAGATTTTGTCAACTCTTGATTAGAGAAATAACAAAGAAAACTATTAGCAATTTAAAATAATGGAATAAAACGAAAAAGGGGTCACGCCCGCTTAGGCTAAGTCACATAACAAAAGATTTGAAACTTCAAAATAAATTAGAAAACAACATCATGCCAAAATAGTAGTTTCAATAAAAATCCCTAGTCTAACAATGAAGTTAGTAAACACATGAATACGCTAAAAAATCCTACGTTTACTAAGCTTAGCAGAAGCAGGTGACGGCCGGCCTTCGTGACTACAATCAAACCACGAGAAAAGTTAGACTCAAGAAATAAGAGAAAAGGGAGCGTAGGAAACCTTCGTCAAGGATCGACGGCGATCCTCCACTCGACGATCTCCAATTGTTCCTCGATGGCTTCCACCAAAGTATCCAAGATCCGCTTGATATAATCTTCCACCGTGTGGTCGACCCTCTAGTTGACATCGAAGAAGGTTGAATGTAAGATGCACACAAATCCGTGCTCGTCATAGGAGAGGCCGTATTCAGTTTCTGGATCCGCCATTCATAGATGCTAGATGATGAAGTTTTCCCCAAGGCTTGCTAGCATTCTTGAATATGGTTGAAGAGAAAGAAGTTTCTCTTCAACTTGAAAGGGGTAAGAACCAAAGAGCAAGTTCCCTTCCAAAATCTAAAATTAGTTTCAAAATTTTGAAAGAAGAAGATCAGAAATCAAGAGGGAAATCTCAATTCCTAAATTCTGGTGGGGAGTTAATGAGAGAGGGGAAGATTGGGGAGAGGGAGAAGGGGCGGGTATGGAGAGAGGGGGCCGACAGCTACGAAGAGAAAGGGGAGGGATTTGTGGGAGATATAATGAGTTTCCAAGTTTAGGTTTAGGGATTAGGAATGGTTTGATTAGATCCAATTTAATTTGAAAATCAAATTAAATTAGATTTGGAAACTTTCCTAAAATAGTTTTGGAGGATTTGGAAACAATTTGAATTTCAAACTTAATTGTTTTGATTTCCAAATTGATTCCACAATTAAATCAACCTAAATTAGGAGATCCAAACTATGGCAAGTGGAGTGGGGCCGGCGGTTTAGCCAAGCATGGCTGGCGGCTAGAGGAGAGATTGGGAGAAAATTAAATGTTTCCTTAATTTGGGTGATTGAATTTAGGATGAATTAATTCATCCTAATTAATTCATGATGTAAAACGTACATGCGAAGATGAGCTAATTAATGAATTTGCACACTTAATATTTGGAGCACAATAATTATAAACTTTATGTTGATTTTGAATGACAAAAGAAAACACAAAGAGCGGTAAGACAAGCTTAGGCTGAATCACGCGCGTAAAAGTTAAGATCATAAAACAATCAAGTTAATCTAACATTGCATACGTGAATGGTTTCAACAATAAATCCCTATGCTAACAATAAGATTAGTACTATGAAATGCCCATCACATAATCCTACTAAACATTAAGCTTTAGCGGAGGAGAGTAAACATGATCTTTGTGAGTCAAAATATAACCACAATTGAAAATAAACTAGGAAAATAGGAAACTTGGGGAAGAGTTCACCATAGTCAAGTTCGTAGGTCTTGTTTGAGGTGCGTAGAGGAAGTTCCGAATTGTGGCGGTTGATCTTGGCGAAGTTCTATGGGTGGGCAGCCGATGGAGTCTTCCGGGCAACAAATGGGAGTATGCCGGATGGCAAAACAGCACTAGAAGGCTATTGGATTCTCTGGACAGCAGGAGAACAAAACTGGGACAGCAATTTCCAAGTTTGTGGGAGGGCAGGCTGACATGCCAAACGTCCAGAATTCTCTGGAAAGCAAGGAGGTTGGTCTTGGGTAGATCCTGGACAGCAACGTTTCTGTTCTGAAGTTTTGGACAGCAATTAGAAGCTGTCCAGAAATCTGGACAGCCAGTTGGCAAAAAAAAAAAAAATTATCCAGAAATCTGGACAGCCAGTTGGCTAGGAAAAATTCCAAGATTTCCTCCTGGATGCACGTGAGCTGGAAGGATTTGGTGGGGAAATCCGTGGACAACAGTTGAGGGAAACAAGAGTTAATTCCCTTTGAATTAGGCCTAGGTTTGGAAAGAAAATTAATTGGAGAGGAGGAATTTAGAAAACTGAAATTAATTTCAGCTTCAAGTGGTTTTGGAGGGAGATTAATTTGAAATTTCAAATTAATTCAATAATAGCTATGGGTATTAATGGAGGAGGTAATTAGGGGCTGATTTAGTGGAGCCATTAATGTAATTTGGAGAGAGAGATGGCCCATTAAGGAGGGCCAGCCACATAAGGAGGAGAGAGGGCTTGAGTTTTGAATAAGTGGGGACCACCAATTTAATTTCAGATTTTTACAAAAATCTGAAATAAAATTTCAGTTTTCTTAAGGAGAGAAAACTTCCATTTAGGAGGGCAATCA